CACATACACACACACACACACACACACACGCGCGCGCGCGTGCGCGCGCACACACACACAACTCTTACCCTTGGTCCACTTTTCATTTAGTATCAGCCTTTATTTTGAAATAATCCCCCGCACTAAATAAAAAGATCAGTAGAATCTCGACCTTCCGATTCCATGGTTAGTTCAAGAAATCTACCATATGATGTGGCCTAAATAAAGTAAGGGAGGGGGTTTAGCTTATTTGGGCAAAATGTGGCCTAAATAAGGTAAAAGGGGGGGGGGGTAGTTTATTTAGGCCACAGTGGCCTAAATACGGTACGGGAGGGGGGTAGCTTATTTAAGCCACATGTGGTCAACTATAAACTTTCCTCTGCTCACGTCTTTGAATTGAAAATGACGTGTTCTCGTTAGCTCCAAAAGCAGCACGTGTGGACAGGTGGTATTTTGGGGGTGAGCGCCTTTCTGGCTCAAGGTTAGATCATTGTACAAGGTTCAGCCAAAACAAGGGCAGCATGTAGCAGCAGCAGAGCTCATTAAGGAAACTTGCCGCCTCGTCGGCCCGCCTCCTTGCTTCGGTGTATCGATCTCGCTGGCCGGTGTACAAGATCTTATTCTGATCACCACAGTCGGCTTAGAACTCTCCTCTCCCGGTGTGTCTGTGTGTCTGTGTGTCTGTGCGGGCAGTGGTGGGTGGTGGGTGGTGGGTGGGGTGTGGGGAACGCTCTGGGAAGCCCCTAGAACCGGCCAGTTCTGGCCCCTGCTGTTATGACGAAGTTTTGTGTAAGAGCCTTCCCTGCTGTTACGTAAACCTGGGGGTCCTTACATAAAAACAGAACCGTGTGGCTTCCTCGTCGCTCTCTGTCGGTGGTAGTGGTGGGGTGGGGGGTAGGGGGTGCCAAGTCGCGCGATCGGATCGGGTCGGGTCGATTTGATAGTCGGGGCTAGCCAAATTGAGGGCGCAAAGCGGTCATCGTGGGTCAAACCGACAGATCGACGGTGACCTACAAAAAAACGCGTTTGTTTTGAAGCCTGCAAATCGCATGATCGGGTGGTTTGCAGACAATCACAACAAGGCCGGGGGGCTCTCGTGGCCTAGAGGTTAAGGTGTTCACCTCTCATTCTAGGTCCCGGGTTCGAATCTGGGTAGCAACCGAAAAATGTTCTTCTCTAAAATTGTCTCCTTTCACCCCCTTTCCTGCTCTCTAGCAATGTTCTACCATCTGCTTTCGGCTCCTTTTTCTGCCCCCACCCCCTCACCTCCATTGCCCCGTTCTCTGGGCTCCTGACTCTTTCTGCAGCCTTTCTACAGCTACTCCTTGGCTCCTTCTTACTGCTGTCTTTCAGCCACACCCCTGATCTTCTGATAGGAAAGATCTGCATCTAGCCTTCTCTGACAAGGGCGAAAAATCTCGAAGGGCCCGTGTGCAAGTTGCGCACGTTAAAGATCCATTGGTGGTCTAAAATCGATAAGAGTATAGGCTTCGGCCGCCACCCGGGCAAAATTCAAAATTTCCTACCAACTGAAAATATTAGGTGTGTCCCGCGCGCTCATGAGTCATATGACCTTATGCAGTTGCGAGCGCCGTAAAACACTTTACAAAAACAAAAAACAAGAGTTACCCTACTTGTGTGGAAAAAAAACATAAAATCGAAACGAACAAACTGTGCTATTCATCTTCTTCTTTTGGAGAAACGAAAGAGAGCTTCAAAAGAAAGACTGCAGCGCCATCTGAACCAATGCACGGACTTCCGCGGACACTTTTTTGACTGAGTGAACAATCTTGTTTTTTAAACATCTTTGATAAAAATAAAAAGTTATCGATGTAACTATTGTAACCATGCTTATATGGGATTCAGCACTGCAACAGTTTTAGTTTTAGTAGAGGTTTTACGGCGCTCGCAACTGCATAAGGTCATATGAGCGCCAGAAGATTAGAGGTGTTACAAGAGAGTAACAAACATAAAAAAGAAGAAGG